GCTTCTATTGGCAGTAAGTTAAACTGCCCATTTTATCCATTTTTGGGGGGTGGGGATGGGTTTAATATTTTAAAAGATCTCATTTTGGCAAGTGAGGAATATTTCATTATTGCAGTCTCTTTAAGTAAGCAAATATTTAAATAAAAGTCTTCTTTGTCACGGTATTTCACTTTTCTGATTTGTTGATTCATATTTTGCCACAGTTTTCTATTGGAGCTTTGGACTTTTTCTTAAGAGATGTTTAGGAATTCAGTATGTACATTAAAGATACTAATAACTCATCATGTGTTTGACTATTTTTAGCATTGTAACATACAGAGCACAATATTTGTCAATTCAACATTTTTACATGTAACGTTTTGTGATATCAATTACATTAATCATACTCTGTAACTACCACCCATAATCACTGTCAAATTTTCCGTCACCATAAACAGAAACTCACTCCTTCTTAAAGGAGGACCCCTTCCCCCGAAGTTTAACTTTTAAAATACTTGGCCATCCATCTTTTTACTTTGTATCTATTTTGACATACAGGTTTTAGAAGGTAACCTGACGGATCTTTTTCTATGGGGTTTCCTCCATTACGCCTGTACTTAGAAGGCCCTTCATTCTAAGTGCAGAGGAACAGTCCTCCGATATTTTTGACTCTGATGATTTCATAAACTCTGAAGTACACTGCTAATTTTATGTTGATGTGATGTTAAGAATAAACTACAATTTTTCCAAATGGCTTATCAATTGATGCGATGCTTTTTAAAAAATTGATAAATTCTTCACTAAGTAGATAGTTATTTCATATTCATTTAGAGTAAATTATACATACAAAAATCTGGAATTATGTATCACTTCATTAATTTACCTATTCTGGTAAAACATCTCACTCAAAAAGCATTAAAGCTTTTACTAACTGTTAGGGGAGGATTCCCCAACATTATTTTCTGCTAGATTTTACTAATCATTTCTGTTTGTTCTTGCAAATGATTTCTTTTGAATCATCATTTTAAAAGTTGCGATTTTGTATTTGACCAATAATACAGAAAGAAATAAACCTCAAGAATATCTAGTCTTTTGATCTAGAAACATGATATTTATTCAAATTTTCTTTTTATTTCATTCGGTTACCTATGTTCGTTTTCTGGGTACTGATAACTGAATATTTTATGTTCCTATACATGAGATATTTTCCATTATATTTTGTAACTACTTTTGCAGATGAAAGCTATTGATTTAGGTTTATTTTGTATCTAGTCACATATTATCAGATTTTTATTTATCTTACTTACAGTTGATTCTTCTATGTTTCAAGCTGGGTAAACAGAATTTGACCCTTAAGTATAATGGTCATCTTTCTCCTCCTTTCCAAAGGGGTAACATTGACTTCTATGTCATGGCTGTGCGGCAGCTTCCAGAACAATACTGAATGAGTGTGGTGAAGAGTGATTTTTTTTGGATTTTAACAAAACACTTCCAGAGAATATCATTCAGTGTGCTCTAAGCCCTACGTTTTCAACTGAGACCCTCCTGATCACATATTAGTTTAATAACTAGCCAGGCTTATGAATTTAAGTTTTGTGTTTTTTTGCAAATTGTTCTTTTTACTTATAAAAGTCCACTGTATTTGTATTCTGCCAGATTTGCTTTTGATTGTCTCTTTCTTCATAAGCCAAACTGGTGCTGTCGAATCGATTCCAACGCACAGCAATCCCTTAGGGTTTCCTAGGCTGTGATCTTCGGCGAAGCAGATGGCCATACCTTTGCCCCATGGTGCTGGCGGCAGGTTGAACCTGTAACTCTCTGCAGTGGAGCACTTTTCTCTACTGCAGTGCCAGAGCGCCTTCATCTCTAACCCCAGGCCCCTGAGCACCTCTGATCTATCTGTCCAAACAAACTCAAACTGAAACCATTGCTGTTAAGTCAGTTCAGACTCCTCTCAACCGAACAGGACGGAGAACTGCCCACGGGGTTCCCAAGACTATACTCATTACACATATAGGCAGAGGGGCTGGCGTGTTCGAACCACCAGTCTTTGGGCTAACTGCCAAGCACTTAACCCCTCTGCCATCAGGGCTTCAGTGGGTCTAATTTTGCCTTTAAAACAATTAAACTTTGAATTTATAAAGGGTTACATGGTTGGGTAGCATAGAGGAAGAAGAGGAGGAGGAGGAGGAAGAAGGATTACTGAGCATTCTCTTGGTTAATAAATGAATGTGAGTCATTAAAAGAAAGCCACTGTTCACGTTAATAAAAGTGACTGATTTTGGCATACAGAAAGAAAAATTGACAACCACTATTTGATCTTTATGTGCAAGATAAATTAACTTAAGAACAAATCATCACTAAGGTGAAAAAAAAATCCACCTTGATGGGGTATGTCAAAGGGACATATCAGATCAACGGAAAGGGTCCCAGGAACAAAGGTGGAACCACTGGAGCCGTGAAATAGCATTGGGTTACAATCCAGAGAATGAAACGATCTATCAGTCCATCATGATAGAAATAGATAACTGGATAAACAAATGCTGGAAAAGAGGACTCTCTTATACAGAAGAACTCCAAGTAACTAATGTAGACATAGCACCTTCAAGGATATGGAGCACAGTTCTCCTTTCCTTAAGTGTGGGCTGTGCACAGTGACTTCCTTCCAAAGAGGAGAGTATGAAAAGGAGCCCTGGTGGAGTAGCGGTTATGAGTTGGGCTGCTAACTGCAAGGTCTGCAGTTCAAAAACACCAGCCACTCCCTCCTCAGGAGAAAGCTGAGGTTTCCTCCTGCAGTCTCAGAAACTCACAGGGGCAGTCCTAGTCTGCCCTGTAGGGTCGTTATGTGTCAGCATCGAATCCATGGCAGGGAATTGAACTGAGTGTAGTATGAAAGGAGAGAGGGGAATGGAGAGTTGCTTTATAGTGGAAAAACCTGACCAACTCAACCACAGCACACTGATCAAAGCCAATGTCAGCAGAGACAAGTCATTCTGATGGTCAATCCTCTTAACATGAAGTAATGAAAAAGGCACTTCACCTTTGTGGTCTTCCTCCTCACAATCCAAAACCTCAGGTTATTCCTTAAAAAAAAAGAGAGAGAGAAAATCAGACAAATCCTTATTGAGGAACGGTCTACAGAATACCCGATCAGTACTTCTCGAAGTTGTCAAAGTCATCAGAAAGCAGAAAAGTCTGAGACATGGTCAGGAGGAACTTACAAGACGTGGGCAGCTAAATGCACTGTGGTACCCTGGAGGAGACTGAGAGCCTTTACGAAGGAAATCCGAATACAGTATAGACGTTAGCTAGTAATATGTGTGACTGACATTGTATGGTTCATTCATTTTACAAAGACACCATATTAATGTGAGATGCTGGTCATAAGGGAGCCTGGTTTCTCGGCATATATGAACTCTGTACTATCTTTGCAGGATTTCTGTACATAAGAAATTGTTTTTTTCAAAAAAGGGTTCTTTAAAAATATGTATTGTACCGAAAGGTGCATAGCCCATAATTCCTATTGTTCCTAAGCTCCAATTACTTTATCTCTATGGAAAACAGCTCAGGGACTAACAGCCAGCTAGCACTGCTTGGTATTCCATTCCAACCAGCATCACTCCCCAGACTAATTACTGCTGTACCTTTGTCTCCCAGGTTATTGCTCAGTTATAGTTTCACAGAGGGTACTCAGTTCTGCCCTAAGAACTCCTCTGAGAAATCAGCAAGAACAAATGGATATAAATTGCAGGGGGAGGGGTTTAAGTTAGAATTTTGGTATGGTATGAAGTCAAGCTATGCGATACTGGTTGCTGATTATCTTTCTTTATTTGGCTAATTATCTTTTAAAAGGCAAGTTGATCCAGCTTGGCTTCAGCTCATCTTGGAGTAAATCAGGCAAAAGAGTGATTTTGAAAAAAAAAAAAAGAGCGATTTTGGACTGGTCATAAGAATTTTTATACTTTAAACAGAAATTTTCCATGAAAGGTTGGCTTAAGTGGGCGCATTCACATAGCAATTGTTCATCAAGCTGTCTGTGGTCTCTGCTTTTCTCTTAGTCGACACGTAATTTATGAATTGTGTTCCAGAGATTTTAGTTCAGACGGTATAAATCATGAATCAAGGTTAGTTTAACAGTCAGAACACCCCTCCCACTCCCGCCCCGCCTGGGGAATGCTCCAAGTGAAAAACCAGGAACCCCTAGAACTATGGCCATGTGAAAATACAGTGATGTTCTATCAATATTTACAAATTAAAATGATTTTCAATATCTTTACTGAGTCAGGGTGTAAATCTAATTTTTGCTTCTTTTATGCAAACACGAAGCTTTTCTTTTTAATTTTTTTATTAATGTTTTCCCTTGTGGAAGTATTTCAGAAAATAAATCTCAGATCGTTCTGGTTTGCTTGCAGCTACAAAAGCAACCCTACACACTGAACTCATGCTACACCTTTGGTGACTTAAGTACTTTAGAAAAACAATGTATCACCACACCCTCAAGCCACTTACAACAACCATATTTTGCTAGTTTCCACACATTTAGAGAATGCCTGGGAATGTGGCACAAATGTTATAATCATAATAGTCAAAGACTATGTCACCTTGTTTCTACTTGACTCCTTAAAACAAAACCAAAAACTCAGGACCATTGAGTTGATTCCGATGCTTCGTGACCAGTCGGACAGAGTAGAATTGTCCCACAGGGTTTCCAATGCTGGAGATCTTTCCTGAAGCAGACAGCCTCATCTTACTTCTACATCTGACTACTTCAGCCTTCTAACATGCTAGCTCTTCCCATATCCAAATATGAAATTGTGGGTAAAAATGAAAATATATTAAAAGGTACAAATGTAAATATACAATTTGCTATATATAATATAATAAAATAAATATACAATACAATACTTGGATTAGAAGAAGCTATAAATTGACCAGAATGAAATTATAGTACTTGGGGTTATTACTCAACTTACGCTATGCTTCTATGATTTATATGATTCTCATGTAACTGGGGCCTGTTTGTTACAACTGTTAAAATGACGTGTTAGAAGTGATCCCCAGCCGTGACTTCACAGATTCACTGGCATCTTTGTTGCAATCGCTTCTGCAGATGCTGGATGAAGAGGAGGAGCACACCGACAGCAGAACTGAACAGAACCAAAGTCCTTGCGGCTCAATGTCCTCTCCATCACTGAGGACATTTTACTGGAAGGGCTTCAAGACATTCTCTTTGCCATAAATGAGGAGCATTGATCTACATGCAAGGTTTGCATAATGGTTATCAAAAATTAAATTTTACAGAATTGTTACAGGGTTGGATACAGTGTGTTAAAACGCTAACCAGAGATGCCAAAACCCAGAGGCAGACGTCAGTCTATGAGAAGCAACCACCAGAAGGGTGATGAAAAAGGGTTCATGGAAAGGGCAGAGAAAAATGCCAACAGTCACACTTACTATTATTTAAAAGTATTTATGGACAGCAATGCGATTTGTTCCTCTTCTGCCCCTATTTATTTGTATAACTACAGTACTGGATTTATTTCATTAGTTGGTATTTGAGAATAAACAACACTTGATTAAAATTCAAATTATAATTTCAACACGATGTATTCTGTTCTGCTCCTCTCTGGATCTAATAAGTAATTAGGCCTCATCAAACATATATAATTTGGGTTGAAGCTGAAACTAGGAGGAAGCCAAATGTATAGTCATAATAAAGTTATCTAGGCAGGATATTTTCATGTCAGTGTTCAGTGTGTGCACTGAGCAATCCCCAGGCAATCATTTAGTCCTTTGGGATCACTCTGGGTGGGGCTTGTTTATATCCTACAGTCACATCATTAAGCATCACTGCTAAATATAAACCAAGGAGAATATGGATTGTTTCCCAACACTAAGGACAACACTACACAATTATATTGACAGGCTTGACAGTGACAACACCAAAGCTGCCATGGTTACCCAGCCACAGTGCAGACAAACAGCCAACATAAATATGCACGCTCCAGGTTTAGTATTAAGGCAGCAGATGGACATTGGGCCTTCACTCAAGTACTTACTCATTGCAAGAACACGTTGTTCTATTAAATTGGCATTCCAGGATGCACACCTTCCCGAAACGATTGCTGAAGAAAAATGTGAACATAAGCAAAGGTGGTGAAGAAAGCTGATGGTGCCTGGCTATCAGAAGATATAGCATCTGGGGTCTTAAAGGCTTGAAGATAAACAAGCGGCCATCTAGCTCAGAAGCAACAAAGCCCACATGGAAGAAGCACACTAGCATGTGTGACCACGAGCTGTCGAAGGGATAGAGTGTCAGGCATCAAGGAACAAGAAATCATGTCATTGTAAAGGTGGGTGAGTGAAGAGTGGAGACTCAGAGTCCATTGGTAGGCAACTGAACACCCCCTTGCTGAGGGGTTGTGGGGAGCAGATGAGCCAATCAGGATGCAGGGTAGCAACGATGAAACATACAGCTTTCCTCTAGTTCTTAAATGCTTCCCCCCTCCCACTATCATGATCCCAATTCTGCCTTGCGAATCTGGCTAGACCAGAGGGTGTACATTGTACAGATAGTAACTGGAAACACAGGGAATCCAGGATAGATGACTCCTTCAGGACCAGTGGTGAGAGGGGCGATGCCTGCAGGGTGAAGGGAATGTGGGGTAGAACGGGGAGCCGATTACAAGAATCTAAGTATAGCCTCCTCCCTGGAGGATGGACAGCAGAGAAGAGGGCGGAGGGAGACGTCGGACAGTGTAACTTATGACAAAACTATAATAATTTATGAATTATGAAGGGTTCATGAGGGAGGGGGGAGTGGGGAGGAAGGGGGAAAATGAGCAACTGGTAGTAAGGGCTAAAGTAGAAGGCAAATGTTTTGAGAATGATGAGGACAACAAATGTACATATGTGCTTGACACAATGGATATATGTATGGACTGTGATAAGAAGTGTATGAGCCCCCAATAAAATAATTTAAAAAAAAAAGAAATTTAAGTAATAAAATTAAGTAGATAAAATTCTGGAAAATCGCAAATTACTATTGATAATACCTATTAAAAGGTATTTAATAGTACTATAACATCTTAAAAAGTGAGGAGGAAATTGACTTGGACTACAATAAATTTTAGTTATTAAAAAAAAAAAAGCACGCTACTCTGCACTACAGAGTCAGAGAGAGAGCAGCCGCGAAGGAATGAGGCTGGGCGACTTCATTATGCCGTGTGAGAAGCCAGGAAAGGAAGTTTGGGACAAGTTGCCAGTGTTCATGGAGGTACACAGAACCAACCTGCGGCTTGATTCTGCAGTTCTATGAACTGGCTTTATGCCTGCGGGTCAGACATTTCACTTTTCTGGATCTTAATCAGTTCATCAGGAAAGTGGGGGTCTGAGATGTTCCAGGCCTGCTCCCTTCTAGGCTAAGGTTAAAAAACAAACCTACATACACCAAGGGGGCTTCAAAGAGTTTGTTGAGAAACGGAATGAAAAGATAATGTAGTTTTCCCACATACTTTTGAAGGACCATCATCTATACATCACATCTGTTATTTCATAGGACAAGTCCAGACAGTGTTAATTCTATTGTGATTCCCCTGCAAACCAAAGTAAAACATTTGACGAATCTTAAGTAACTTGTCAGTTATTTCAAAATTCCCTAGAAAATTATTGCTGGTTATTTAAAAATAACTAAATCCTTCATATAACAAGCAACCAACCAAACCCACCTAAAAAGAAAAAAACATCTATCTTCTTGAGTAAATGTATGCAAGATCTTTGCTAGAAGATTTATTTTTTAGTTTGTACTAAGATTAGTTTGCTCTAAGGCACTAGACATTTTTAGAACACAATGCTGTTGAAAATGAATCAGTTTAGTTTTAAAATGGGTAAATCTTAAAAAAAAAGTTTGTTGTTGAGCAACGGAAGAAAGACAAGGAGAGAAGCTTGATCTTTCTCAATTGATGGATATCTTCTATTAGAAAAAAACGCAATAAAACAAAGTGGGGCATCAAAATGTCAGAGATATATGCTTTAAACTCGAAAAAAAACCATCCAAATAATTCAGCAACATGTTCTGTTTCTC